TAGCCAGTTATTTCTTCCACTTAAGCTGTCCCAGATTTCTGGAAGGCTGACTGTGCTAAATGCCCCGTGGAAAAGCTGTGTGGCTTAGTGGAAAGTTCATGGCATTCGGACTCATCAGTCGGTCAATCTGAGTGACTCTGCCATCCTGGCACACTGTTGGGCAAGGGCTTCGGGACTTCCATTTGCTCAGCTGTGACCATGCTCCCCAGTCTTGTTGGAAAGGTAAAGGATAGGGGACATACCTTGTCAACTCTAAAAGAGTAAGTAAAGGTGTTTGGTTACTTTCTTGTTCCGTCATGGTACTGTCCTTACATGGCACACTCTGGTCACACAAGGAACATCTGCTGACTGAGAAATTCTCAGCTGAGAAGCAGAAGGAGAGGGGGTGGGTGGAGGTGTTTGTGTTCCCTGTGTGCACATGCGCCTGTGTGCACACGCGACAAAGTAAGGTGTAAAGCCTGAGTCAGAACTGCGGGGTGGCCATCAGTTCCCTCTCCTTTTAAGAAGTAGCTGCAAGAACTTCTGCTTTCCCATGCTTTTGCTTGGACACCTGTGCATAGGGTCAACGGCCCACTTTGGGGAGGCCCGTCTCAACCTATGCGTCTAAGTTAATTGTATGTTAGTAGAGGGGGAAGCTATGATTAAGTCATACAAATGTCACTGGGATTGCTTCCAAGCGGTGATGAAATGTGCTAAAATTCAAAGGCTAGAGAAGGCACAGTGAGACAGGCGGTCCTTTGGTTATTGTGAAGCTTATTGTTTAGGTACTAGGAAAATATTACCCTGACATTAAGGGATTTCTCACCCATAGATTTGAAGCATTAAAATCTTCCCCAGAGCTCCTTAAAGATGGCTTGCAACCTCATCTCTCCTGTCATGTTTATTTCAGTTACAATAGAAAATAACCTAAACGGTCAATAAGAGGGAAATAGTTGGTTCATGACTCTACAGAGCTGTAGAAATTAAAATACTATAGTTACATAGTAGCATATTAAAAGCTTTATAGTAAGACACTCGGAGAAGAAAGAATGCATGGGTTTATCTACAGTATGATTACTAATTATATAAAAATAATTGTGAATTCAAACTGAACAAGAACCCAGAAAATAAAATCAATAGACTTGCATGGGGGGGGGGGACACTTCTGGAATTATGTACCACATATATTTGCTAAGACATCCTGCCGAAGCGCACCTAGGATGTTTGTGGAGGACAGGAAGATAAAGATGTAGGAAGCCTGCTTCAGGCTTAAGATTCCTGAGTTGCAAAGAAGGGTGCTGTCCAGGGACCACGGCACCCTAAGGCATCACTGGTTTCCATTAAAACCTCGTTTGTGGAATTAAAATTAATTTGATGGAAATGGATTAAGCAGTCTTTTCATTAGTGTGCTCCTGGTCTAATCGAGTTTGGAGTGACTGGTGAAGTCATTCCTGCGCTGAGCCTCTTCCCCTCAAGTTCTCTGTGGGCCTTTTGTTCCCAGACTGCTGGCAACATGGAGATGGGAGTCTTCCAACTCCCCCCTCGCAGTTGGCGGTTGCACTTGCTTCCCTAAGATCCTGGGAAGGAAAGTGACGATTTCACAGAAGTTATTCAAGGCAATGAGTCCAACACAAGAATCCTTCGATAGAAGTCAATAAAGGTGTCCCTGTGGTGAGCACTGGGGATAAAGGCCTCCCTGTGAGACCAAACTGGGGGAGACTAGTTACTGAGGTCAGACTTCTTCCTTCCTAAGCTGAAGGGATTCTCAGCTTAAATTCGTTTCAGAGTAACAGGTCTGGAGAAGAGGCGCATAGAGCTTGCCCTCCAGACTGAGAACCACACATTTAGGTAGTAGGAAAGGGTAAAGAATGGAGATAACTGTGCATCTCAAGATGATCTTGGCCACAGGAAAGCTGTTTTCATGTGTATTTCCCCAGGTTTGTGAGGTTAGGGCTTTATTATATCTTCCAGGACACAATTCAACCTGTAACAATTGTAATCAACATAATTCTTTATTATTATTGTTAATAATAATAATAATTTTATTTTTATAGATTCTTGCAGGATTTGCAGCTACACAGCAACCATCAGCAGACATTTGGGCTCCAAATCAGACCATTTGCTTCCATCAGTCATAATGAGTACAAAATTACTTGCACGCTTATGGATTTTGCTTTTTAAAACTCTATCACTTGCTTGGAGAGGTGGCTCTGTGGTTAGGAGCACTTGCTGTTCTTCCAGAGGACCCGCGTTCAGTTCTAACCACCTTTTAAATATTCTTCGTATTAATTCCAACACATACACATGCATACATACACATCACACACACACACACACATGCACACACACACACTCATGGGGGGCATATGACAATATAATGTCCTGAACCATTGACTCTATGTACTATAACTGGCCAAAGACCCCAGCTGTGGCATTCTGAAAGCTACAGACCTGTAGCAGTTAAGCCACCTTTCCCAAAGCTGCTCCATCCCAGTATTGGGACACTGAGGCAGGCCCATTGTCCCAGAAAGTCACAGGGTTCCAAAAATGCCCAGATTTGGGTCCTCAACAGCTTTTTGGTTCTTCCTTAGTCTACCGGGCAGTCAAGGATGCGTTTGGTCAACTTTGTTCTCCTACCCTTTACTAGCTGCATAGTTTCTTGCATTTTCTCTCTTAATAAAATCTATGCATGTCTCATCCTATTAGGGGAATCTATATCTTAGAAGGGATATGTGTGTAAGTATAGGAATGTACACATGAATATTCATATATATGCATTTGTCTATAGACATGTGTGTATAATTGAGTTGTAATTTCTTTTATGGTAGACATGAGCTATGTCAATACTTTTGTAATTTAAAAAAAGCCACCCCACTTTGCTATTAGCTATACCACAATGTACCCCACTTTGCTATTAGCTATACCACAATGTCTGTCACCTTTTGGGAAAAGAGCCAAGAACTCAGAGCAATATTGCACAAAGACTTCTTGTTTAGGTATAGAGTTCCTGGTGGAGTTTGAATTTTTCTGTCAATGAAGCTAACCTTCACAGGTAAGTGTGAAGAACACTGGAGTGAGAACTAAGTTCCCCAGTGGAAAAGGAAGGATTGAGTAAGATCTGGAGACTCTCCACTCTTCCCTTCCTGTATTTCTCTAGACTGGACCTACTGGTCTCCTCTCACCCACACCAACAACAATTTCTGACTTTGTAGAAGAAATAGATTCTGGACCCCTCCCACGGGAGAGCTGTCAGGAACCTGCCAGGGTCTCATAATCAATGGGAGCTTGACGAGTCAGCTTTAGATAGCCTACAGTGCCTGTCTATAGAAGCTCTAACCAGGATCCTTGAGACGAGAGAGAGAGAGAGAGAGAGAGAGAGAGAGAGAGAGAGAGAGAGAGAGACAGAGAGACGGAGACAGAGAGAGGGAGAGACAGAGAGAGACAGAGAGACAGAGAGAGCAGTAAGTGAACTCAGGTAAATGGACCCCAAGTATTCTTTGTCCTTGCCTTAACTTCCTAATAATCAAACTGCTAAGAGAGAAGCCGCCAAAAGAGGCATCGTGAGACTGAGGAAGCCCTTGCTGTCATGAGAGTGGAAGCGGCCAGAACTTCACTCCTACTAACATGGAACTCCAGAGAGAGAAATAAAGTGCCCTGAACACTCTAGAGAGAGTTGGGAAGAAGTAAATAGAGTGTTGGGTCACAAAATCTAATAAAAATAATAATAAATATCCAGTGCACACCCTTTTGTGTGGGTCCTTCATCCCTGAGTTTATAGGTAGTCAGAGAGAGAAGCCACAGCAACTGGATGATAAAGTAGTGAATTCCTAAGTGAAAAGAAGGGAGTCTGGTCATGGACTGGAGCCTGATTGAACTAACAGCTCCAGAATTTCATTTCTATCCAAGAGCTTGGGATTCTGCCTGACTGCCCAGAACTGAACTCTGAGAACAAGGAAAACCATGCAGTGCTTCAGCCTCTTTCCCAGGGGCTCTCCCTTGCCTTCTGGAGCCTTGCAGTGGGCTTGCCTGCTCCTTGGCAGGTGGCTTTGCCTCTACTGGGATTTTGGTTAGCTGATTCTCAAGTGTGATGATAGAGCACTCACGGCAAAGGCAAAGACTCCATGAAAACTTTCAGCAACACGAGCTATGCAGATTTCACCCTGGACTGTCCCTCAATCCCCATCAGCTTCCTTCTCCTAACAGAAAGTTCTATTGTCTTCTTGTATTTCACTTGATGATCCCTGGTGCCTTGTCTTCCTCAAGAATACTCTCTGCATCCAATTCTCATTGTAAGGGAATTTCCTTTGAGCCGTTATTAACCCCTGATAGAAGCAGGCACCTGCAGGGGAAAATGTATGTATTCTCGTACTTTCAAAGTGTCTTTTCCCTTACTTGCAGATAAAACTTTTATGTCACAATCTGAGCATGCCCAGAGGCATCCTGTCTTCGCATTTGATCTTTTAAACATGTGTTTTAGGCCTATACACTAAGCATGTGTGTCTACTATCCTTCCTTCCTAAATTATGAACTTAAACTGAGCATGCTCAGGAATGACATCTTAACTGAGAATGTACTCAAGAATTGGCCCATCCCTGTGTGAAAATGCATTAGGCCACTTAAATAAAATTTCAGTTTCCTTTGGTCCTGGTGGGGTGGCGGGAAGGTATTTCTTTGAAAACCACTCCCATGCTCTCTTTGCCTATGGCAGGTAACCAATCTCTCTCCACTCTTTATGTTGGCGCCATCTAATTTGGCTTTACACTCACCAGCCTGTGAACTGACTCCATTCACGGATGCCATCACCAATGTATGGTTGTTCTGTATAGCCACGAGTAAATGCTCTTAGACGATAAACATGTATAGAATGAGATCCTACATAGTCCAATCTTACTTTTGCTGAAGAAAGCGTGTGCTTGAACATAAATATTGTTTACAAATAAAATCTGAATTCGTGGCAACAAGTTCCAGGAGAAGGATATTAAGGTTAGTACTTGGGTAATCTATTGATATTGTCATTCCAGGTGAAGATGGCCCTGCAACAAGAAGGATTTGACCGTAAAAAGAGAGGGTACAGGGACATCAATGAGATTGACATCAACATGAACGATCCTCTTTTTACAAAGCAATGGTACCTGGTAAGTTTCTCTACTGCTTACAATGGTCTTCGCTTTGAAGGATGAAATTGTTTGTTATTTGGCAGAATAATACACAGCATCCAAGTCAATGAATGCCTCTATGCCCCCTAAGATGTTTGGTTTTTCTGTCTATTATGCATCTTAACCCCTAAGCTTCTACCAATAGCCGATCATGATCACATTGGCCTGGGTTCTGAACAGCTCTACCTGGGTGAGAGGGAAGACATGCAAACTATCTGAAAGTCACATTGAATGTTTAAGAGCAGTCATCCAGAGTGTCAACAGGCACACAGAAAGACTGGAGGGACATATGGGAGTCATAGTCACAAGAGTAAGAATCCAGGGTTTTCATGAGTAAGAGAGCTGAGAGACAATCAAAGGTGGCATTTCAACCCGGCCCAAAACAGTAGCAGTGAATCAGGATTTACATCACCAGAACCTAGGCTGTCTTATGGCAAGAACTTTCTGTTTTATCTACAACCCATCATGACCCCTGTGGGTTGCCTCGGCTATGTTTAGAAGATTAATAGGGACATGAGGAATGACTTAGGGATGAAGAGCATGTGCTGTTCTTCCAGATGACCCAAATTCAGTTCCCAACACCTTTGTCAAGCAGCCCACAACTATCTGGAACTTCCGCTTCAGTGAATCCCACACCACTGGCCTCTTAGGCACCTGCAGTCACCTTCATAAACCCACACATATACACATAATTAAAAATAATAAAAATTAATCTTTGTTGAGGAGATCAATGACTCCGAACCAACCTAAGTTGCAGAGCACATTATAAATGACTGATTCATAAATGTGAGTGATGTCTCACTTTATGTAGGACTAAAAGATGATGAACAAGATAGAAAATTAAATGACATAGACTATTACACACTAGAGATGCATCCCTGTTTCCCTCTGAGGCTTCAATGTTTGGCTATGCCTTATGGTTTTGGACATAGAATTCTGAAAGTTTGGGTAACTGATTGAGCTTATGTATATTAATCAGGATATGGTAGGTTTGTTGCAACCACAGATAATCCCAAGTCACGGTAGCTTCTTAAACTCAACACCTGTTTTTTTGTGAACTTTACCTAAATGCTTCCACAGCACCTCAGCAACTGTATGTGGCTCTTGAAACTTCTACCTAGGTGTGACAAAAAGCACATGTGCTCACATTGTGCTGGCCAGAACCAGTTACATAACCATTGTAAAAGAAAAGGGGGAAAAAGAAAGGAAAGAGGAGGTATAATCTTTAATGTGTGCTTGGAAGGAAAAGAATAGTAACTTCTGTAAAGCATATTAATGATACTAATGCCATTCCAACAATGTCTTAGTAACATCAGAACAGCCTCTGGTCATGGTGAGCACACTCTCCAACTTCACTATTTGAAGAAATAGTTGAAGATAAGTCATCATTGAGAAAATCTATACAGATCATATATTCATGGAAAGAGGCTAGTGAATGTATTAGTGTGAATTATTCCTTCATCTTCCTTCTTTTTAAAAATGAAGGAAGGGTTGGCACAATAGCTCAGTCAATAAAGCACTTGTCATGTAAACATGAGGATCAGAGTTCAATTCCAATAAATCCCATGAAAACCACTTGAAATGGTGCTTAGAAATAGTGGCATGTATATGTAATTTCAGAACTGAGGCGTCAGAGATAGGGACCCTTTGGGCTCATTGACTAGCCATTCCAGCCCACTTAACAAGCCCTCAACTATCTCCTAAAACAAAATGGTCATTAAGAAACAATACCCAAAGATGACCATTAATCTGCACACATATGCACATACACACAATTGTGCTGTGCACACCCATGCATCTGTACAAACACACTAATGAATACACACAAAAACTGAGGAGGACTTTATTTTGTTGTTGTTGTTGTTGTAGTAAAACATACACTGAAGAACAGCCACTTATCCTGACTTTAGTTCAACAAGACTTGGTATGGTGGTAATAAAATTTCCAAGGTAAAAACTTTTCTGTGAAAAAGAAATGTTTTTGTCATTTAGTAAGGGAACTTCAGTAAAAACCCAAAATATTATATGCTAAGTTCAAAACATGAGCTAAACCTAGCTTTGACAATGAATATTTCATTCCCTATTTGGAGGGTTTGCTGTGATGGCCTCTCCAAAATTATTGCGTAAGGTGATTTTAATTTTCTGTGTGGTGCCAGGAATTGAACCTAGGGCTTTGTGTACATTAGGCAAAGACTTCATCACCAAGCTACATGTCTATTCCTGTACATGGTTTAAAGATGGAATCTAGCTTTGAGATAAGGGCATTAAAGCAGTTTCAATCTTTACATAGAACAGAAAAAAATTAGTTGTTTATGTGAAGGAAATAGAAAACAAAGCCTATTTAAGTGAAGTAGGTCACCTTAAAGCATGTTTCATGAAGAGTGGGACCTTATGCCGGCCAGGTAGACCACGTCTGGAAACCAAGTGCCTGCATATGTCACAGCACCAAACCAATGCAATTCTCTGCTTTGCATTCTCCTATCAGTTCAACACTGGGCAAGCTGATGGCACTCCTGGGCTAGACTTGAACGTGGCCGAAGCCTGGGAGCTGGGATACACCGGGAAAGGAGTGACCATTGGAATTATGGATGATGGTGAGTATCTCACAGCCCTTAAGTCATTTGCAAGAGAGAGTGCCTGCCTTTCGTGCCTCCAGACATGAAAGACTTGTGTTTGATAGAGGCTAGTGAGGAAATTAGCAGCTTTGATGCTGGACAGCCAAACCACACTTTGACAAAACCTACCCCTTCATCCAGATCAATAATCGTGATACTTGGTGATACTCTCAACAAGTACTGCTTGACCTGATAAATAAGAAACCAAAGAAACCAGTCGGTCCTTGACTTGCTTTCTTACTGACTCTATCCTTACAGCTTACCTGAAAAGTCTTCTAAACTCATGTAGGTTTGTTTTCTGTTCCCCTAGATCCACACTGTACCGTGCTATGACCTCTGAATATGTATGGCTACTCGGAGTTAATAATTAAAGCTAACAGCAATTTAAAATTCAGTTCTTCAAAACAGCTCCATTTCACCTTTTAGTGTTTCATTTTTCTCACCATAGAAAATTAAACCCAGGACTTTGCACTCATATGAGACAGCTTCTCTATCACCCAGCTACATTCTTGACTTCCTTGTTTTAGGGATCAGTGTGGGCTATTTCAATGGCTGAACTAAAAAATCTGCTTCGATAATCACAGAATATTTTATCTGAGAGTGTGGCTTTGGGTTCCTGACAAGATTGAAGTTTAGAAAATTTGGCTTTAATGCTACTTTCAAAACGAGCCCCTGTCAGGCAGTCTTTGATAATGGTTATATCATTGACAGCTCCATATGTTACCCTGCTATGCAGGCTAGAGATTTCAGAGTCTTGTGAATTAGTGTTTTTCTAACTGTGCACAGCCTTGCCTCTGGAGAGGTCCGGCGGCACCGCTGCCCTGCCGTCATTTTGCTGGAATGTTCCGCCCCCCTCGGACAGCTCCCTGGGTCTTCCACTAAAAGTACCACTGTGGCTTACATTATCGGCTTAATTACCTACAAAGCCTATGTAGCACTGAAACAATAGAGCCTCTCCTTTCCCAACATCCTCAAAGAACACTGTTGATGAAAAGCAAGCCTTTGAAGCAGAATTGATGGGGAAAACAAGGGAGACCAGGCTGCTCAAATCTGCTCTGTCTTTGTGGGAACTCATTAAAGTACAATGTGAAACAATGCTCCCTAGGCCTCTGATGTGTGAGATGTTTTGAAGTAGATGTAAAAGCCTTCTCTGGTGCTGAGAGCTTTCCCTAGAAGAAAGGAACTGTGTGGAGAGATAGCAGAGCTTATGAACATATTTTTTTTTCTTTCTGAACTCTTTGGCTTAGCCTCCTTTCCAAAGCAGCTGGGGCCAGGTCACCCAGAAAAAAAGAGGCATCTAAATTTGGAAGGAATCACCTGGTGTAATCTGAGACTGCTTTTTCAGTTCCAGGCCACCCAGACCGAATAATCACACAGAAACTATATTAATTACAACACTGTTTGGCCTATTAGCTCAGGATTCTTATTAACTAACTCTTACATGTTAAGTTAACCCATTTCTATTGTTTTATATTTTACTCGTGGTTTGTTACTACCTCTTGCTTCTTGAGCGGCTACATGGCATCTACCTGACTCTGCCTTCTTTCTCCCTGCATTCAGTTCAGTTTTCCTGCCTCCTATATTCTGCCCTGCCATAAGCCAAAGCAGCTTCTTTCTTAACCAGAGGTAATAAAACATATTCACAGCATACGGAGGGGAATCCCACATCAACCTAGGATATACTGTGAGAGCCAGTGTAACAGCCCATTGGGTGCCCTATGCTGTAAACAGAGGCTACCTTGAATGTGGTACAAGAGAGACAACAGAAACACTGCCACGGTCAACTTTCCAACAGCACTGTAGATGCCAGCTTCAGTGTCTGTCCATAGCCTCCTTGAAGGACACCCAAGCCATCCCTTCCAAAGATGGCAAATGAGAAGATGCCTCACTCTGCCCTAGACTGAAAGGCAAAACCTTTTGGAAAGTCCCAGAAGGATTTCCTGCTTGATCTTAATTCTGTAGATTAGTAGTCTTTGTAATTCCATGTAATTTGAACTCACTAGCTCTCAATTAAAATTCTTGATTTTTTTCTATTGTTTTAGTCATGTCTGCTACAGAAAACAAAACACCTAGATAACTTTTTAAGCTACTGCGTCTTATAGTTCTGTGAGAGTGTAGGCTCTGCTGTGCTGTTTTGTTGCTTTCTCTAAATAAATAAAAGAATATGTGTTCCATCAGGGAAGGTGGCTCAGTCAGCAAAGCATGAGGACCTGAGCCCCAATCCCTTGCATGTGTATAAAACTGAGGGAGGCAGTGCCTCTGTTCCCCCAGCCCTGGGGATCAAGGTCAGGCAACAGAGACTGGCAGACCCCCTGGAACTCACTGCTAAGTCAACCTGAGTCAGCTTGAGAGTTCAGTGAGAGACGCTGCCTCAAAGAATAAGGCAGAGAAACTGAGGAAGACATCTGACATCTACCTCTGGCTTCTACATGCATAAGAACATATGCACAAACACATGAAGCATGCACACACACAAAGAACATGTGTTCAGTATATTCTACCTTAAGAGATAATCAAATACACAAGAACATTAAAATACTATCTATCAAATTATTATTTTAATTTAAAGCATTCTTTTATTAGTAGAAAAATGTCTTTCATCCTTCATAGTTCTATCAATGGTATTTTCTTTCTCAGTTCCAAGTCTGCAACCATTTTAACAAAGTTCTTTCTCTTAACCTAAGGACTCTTTATTATAATTATAATATATATACATTGTATTGAAATCTAATTTCCCTCCTGGTCTCATGTTATCTCTTTGCTCTTGTATTTCCCTTCATGGAGAAGAGATTTCTAATTCTTCTCTTAAACAAAGTTCACTCTCAGAACAAGGAATTGTGTTTTTAAATTGACTTCCAATCTTAAAGGCATGCTCTTTGTGTGTGGTTGTGGAGGGCCATGTTTAGCTTCTCATTTGTTACCAAACTTTTTGCCTAACAATGTTAAATAATTTCAACAAATATATACAATTTCATCTCCACACAGATTTTAATAACAAGGCAATTTCTAGAGATGTCTCTGTTCATCTGCTAAAATTGTCCCAGTGACGTGATAAATTGTGTTAGTTGCTTCTCTGTTGTTACATCAAATACCCTGACAAAATACAAGATAGAAAAGAAAGCGTTTACTGTGATTTACAATCATAGGAGAGACAGTTGATCATGGCAGGGAAGACATGGCAGCAGGAGGGAGAGGCCCACCCTGCAGTCGGGAAGGTGGCTGGTCACATTTCATCCCATACAGGAAGCAGAGAGACTAGAGGATGGGACTACAGTATGAACATCAAAGTCCACCTTCAGTTATATACTTCCTCCAGTGAGGCCCCACCCCCTAAAGTTCCACAACATTCTCAAACAGCACCACCAGCTGGGGTTCAAGAGTTCACATGTGTAAACCAATGGGGATAATTATATCTTCAAACCACAAACTCCTACCCCTGGGCCTCATGGTCTAGAGACTATCTCATAATACAAAATACATTTAGTCAAATTTCAAAAGGTAAACTCTTGCTGTAAATCTCCTGTCAAAACCAAAACATAAATTATATACTTCCAATATATAGAATATATATTCCCACTCCAAGGAGGAGGAATGGGAACACAGTGAGGAAATATTGAACAAAAACTAGACTGAAACCAGCAAGATAAACACCAAAACCCTAGCTTCACGTCCAGCGTCTGGGGCTTCAGTTTCAACGCACTGAGGTGGCTCAGTTCTTCCAGCTTTGTCGCCCGTCACATATCTCTCTTCTAGGCTAGCTCTACTCCCTGAATGCAGCCCTCCTTAGCAGACATCCCACAGTTCTGCCATCTCCAAAACCTTGGAATCTCTACCACAGAATAGTTTCTCGGGGCCTCCTCACAGGCTCCTCCAAGCTTGACACCCATTGCCTAGCCACAGTAGCTCTCTGGAACCACAGAGAAAAATGATGACCCCACTTTTCAGTCCTCTGTCCTTCACGCTTCCGGAACTAGAGCCACCCATAGAACACTACCAAGTTGTGCTACCGTCTTGGGATGGAAACTAGCTCCCTTGATCCGGGGTTGGAGCACTTGGATACCAGCATTGATACTGGTGAAAGTTTCCCTGGGCATTTGTTTTAACAGGACCAGAAAAGCCCTGGGTGTCCCTCCTTTTAGAAGGTGGGTCTTGCCCTCAGGGCATCTTCCCTGTCATTTCAGTGCCGAGCAGGAGGCTTTGACAATGGCACGAAACCCTTTAATGGCACAGTCTTCTTCAGTGTATGCCTGGGCTGTAACCTTCAGCTTCCTGGTGCTCCCTCCCTCCCCACTGTGTACATTTAAACAGTAATAAACTTTCCACCTACTCCATATTACTCTGTTTTGAAGTTTCCTCCATCGGAGCAATTAGTCCTTTACTTTTTGATTCGGCTTCATGCAAATTCTCAGGACACAGGCAGAATGCAGCCAGATTCCTTAAGGAAATATCATATGAATAGCCTCTAACCCAGCTGCTAATAAAATCCATATTTCCCTTAAACTTCGTGAGCTGGGTCTCTGCTCTTCATTGTACTCTCTGCACCTCTGATTGGCCCATTAAGCTCTGTCCACAGCACTTAACTAGTCCAGCATGAAGTTCCAAAGTCTGCCACACTCCTTCAAAAAAACAACATAATCAGGCCTATCACTGCAACAGCCCCACTTCTCTGAAACCAATTTTTGTATTGGTTATTTTCTATTGCTGTAATAAAATGCTCTCACAAAAAGCAAGTTTGGAAGGTGGAGATTGTTTTGGCTTACAGTTCCAGAGGAAACCATGGCAAAGGCATGGCAAGAGGAGCATGAAGCCAACCCGGCAGTCAGGAAACGGACTGATCAGATCTCACCTCATACAGGAAGCAGAGAGAAAGAACAGGAAGTGGGTCATGATAGCAAAACCTCGAAGCCCACTTCCAGTAACATACTTCCTGCAGGGATACTCTACCTCCTAAAGGTCTCATAGCCTTCCCAAGCAGTGTCACCAGCTGGGAACCAAGAGTTCAAACATGAGCCTGGAGGGGACATTTCATATCCAGACCACAACAACGATATTTCTAATGATGATAATAAGAATCTATTAGCATGTTTACTATAAGCCAAATACTTCTTTGAACTGTTTCTAATCTTTAAAAGATCTCTTAGAAGACAATTATAGCTCCTTTCAAAGACGATGAAGTCAAACCTCAGAGATCCTGTTATTTGACAGAATCTACATCAGGATGACCGCGTCTGACCCTTTGAATAGAACTGCTGGTCTCAACACACGCATTTCCCCCAACTCTGAAGGTCACTTCTATTCTGACCTGGAAAAAAAAAAATGAAGATTTCCTCTTGGAATATAGGCATCCTGATTCAAGAGGGTTTGGGGGGGAGGGGTTGTTTTGTTTTGTTTCTCACCACAAAGCCTTAGGGTGGCTGGCACAGCTCCAATAACAGTGGCACAGCCTTCATATGAATGGGGTAAAGATGCCAGCAGAAGAGGCTTAATGGTGCTTCTAGCTTACAAGTCTAGCGTCCCAGGGTAGCTATTAAATGCACCTGCTGCTAGGCTAAAGCTGCCATCTGCATGAGTTTGAGCCCCACCCTAAACTCTCCTCCAGTTGTTCAGGAAGGAAACAGTCACAGAGAGACCCAACAACCTCCCTGAAGTCGTTCTCCTGGTTACATGGCGGTTAGCAGGCAAACTCTACTCTTTGACTCCAAACACCTCCGTGTATAACCATGACCATGTGTGGTTGCAGGGCCCTACTCTGTTGCTGTTTCCCCACCGCCCATATGTGCAAGTACAGCCTATGCTGAGACTCTGTAGTCCTGCAGACCTGGGTGAGGGCTTTCCAGTTACCCCTGGATCAAAGCATCTGGTGAAACTCAGCAGCATAAATAGGCCATAATTCTACCCTAGGAATGATTCCTGGGCCCAGAGCAGGCTCCGGTTCAAGAGCAAGCACAGAACTCCAGCTGAGGGAATTGAAGCCTCTGGTTTTCCAGAAAGGCACGCTCTGGAGAGAGTAGTGTCAGCTCCCAGCTGACAATACCTCCCTAGAAACCGCTAGCTCTCTCCTAATGGCTTTTCTCGCCCAGCCGTATGTCTCTTATTTCGATGCCGGAGTGCGCCCCGCTAATCTACGGTTCTCCATGCCCTGTTAAATAATCATCACTTTTCCTCCCCGGGGCCAGCTTCATTTCAGAGGAGAAACTAGTTGATGCCTTAGAAATGTCAGGATTTCTACAAATCTCTTTTACATCGCCGCCGTGATGAGCCATCCATTTCGCAGTCACTAAGCCCCTGACTGCTGACATTTATCCGGAAGCGTTATCCGTGGGCCCAGAGCTCTAATTGGTTTCACTGCTCTGCGGTGTGTCTTGGGGCAGCTGTCTCCACCGAGGAAGTGATGCAGCCCTCCTCCACACAGAAACAGAAGGCAAAGCAAAGGGTTCAGGATAAGCATCCTCTTCCCACCCCCAACTCCCACAAGTCTGAGCCATCATCCCTACAAGGAGCATCCATTTCTGGGCAGCTTTCTTGAGAACACAGCGGCCAGTTTTAACCTTCTACTCCTGTGTTATCTTTTCGCAGGAATCGATTATCTCCACCCAGACCTGGCCTACAACTATGTAAGTACAAGCTGATTTTAAGGTGTGGGGAATGTGTGCTTTTAGGCAATCTGCTACATGTGGTTATCAGAAACACACTCAAGTATATGCACTATGCATGCATTCAGAAGATCAATACCCACACACAGGAGCCCATACATGCCCAAGTCACACACACACACACACACACACACACACACACACACGTAACTCAGATATTCATGTGAACACAGAATCACCACCCACATACTCAAATGTGCACACTCATGTGTTTGTACACACCGAATCAATCCATCTTGTTAGAGCCGTTGCTCAGATATGGGGGCTGGCCAGATGTCAAACGAGTGTCTTTTCGAGAAGAAAGGCTAGCATGCTGGCATTTGGAGGAGCAGACTGCCAAGAAAGTAAATACAGGGAGAGGTAGAGAGGAGAGTGGCCTGGCAAGGCTTGAATCAATGCCAGTTCCAAAGCTCAAGGGAAAGGGTAATCAAACTATCTTGGTGCTCATTGGCCAAAACTGAAGCCCTAGAGTCAAAACCTACAGTAACTCACATTGCAACCATCTCTCTGTGAGAGGAAGAAGGAACACCATCTTTTTGACCATTTTAACTGTTCTAAACATTTCACTGAGCCCCACCTTTAAGGCTCCTCTACAAGCAAAAACCATCAGCAGAGACTCACAGCACAACACTGGGCTAGAAGTCATAAGCTTTCCCGATAAACCGACAAGCTCTTTAAACATAACCGATGTCTTCGTTCCAAGCCCAGGAGGTACAATATGCAGGCATTTGATGTGTTCACTCAAAGCTGCCCCAGCTGGGTGACACTTTCCCCACAAACTCAAGGTCGAAGTTTAAAAGACATGAACTTACTGACTGGAGACGTTCACTGAAAATGAGGGCTTAAGTAAAAGAGACCGTTAATAAGCAAGGCTGTTCTCGAGTCAGCATTGTGAGGCTGTGCCCTAGAAGGGCCTTTCTATACTGTATGGAAATCAAGGGAACTCCCCCCCGTGTTTTGTGCACTGGGTATCAGGAAATGGGACAATAAAGTTTTCTGCACAGGTCTTAGCAATCTAGAAACATAAAGATAGAGCTAAAAACCTTCTCTAATACAAATACACACACATATTTATAATATGTACAACTATATATGTGTATATGTACATATGCATAATCATATATATATATATATATGAACCATGGATCATCCAGTCACTGTGGCCTCCAAAGAAAATGACAGGAAGTTAATCCAGAACTTTATTGCAGGTGATAATAACCCATGGGGAAGATAGTCATGGGCTACCCATGCATGGCAGTCTGCGGGTCATGTCTAGGGAGCCCTTCTATAGCCCTGTCCCTGTGGCCACCTGCCCTGCTTCCAGCTCACGTGTCTAGCTGTTCATTTACTCTTAAAATGGTCTGAATTCCTGGTGACTCCTCTGTACATCCTTCTCTGTGTCCCCCATAAATACAGAGCCCTGAGATGTTACTATCCTGCACCCTAGAACTGCCTACCCTCACAGAGGCAATAGTATTTCCCATAATTCTCTTCAGCTCCAGGGCCCAGGACATCATCAGTAGCCACTTGGGGCTCTGCTCAGTTTCCTACATAATCGCCGCCTTGTCTCTTGGAGAACCTCAAGGTGGGGTGGCTGTCTGTTGACTGAAAAGCTAACGGTGCCTCGCCCCCTGCTATGCACAGGTCCTAGTTCCACAGAAGCCTAGAGCACCATGAACAGCTTCCATGCCTTTTCACTTGGCCGCCCCCAGGCTGATGACACATTGAAAGACCATTCTAATTCCGTGGGGAAAACATGATTCTAATCCCGTGGAGAAACCATGAAAAGCTGCAGAGACAATACTAGTGGGCATGGCTGTCCGTCTGCCTGAACCCCTCTGAATCTGGGGAGTGCTGGCTGTGCTTAGACCAGCAATATCAGAAGCATGGGGAGACCCCACAGCCTGTGAGCACTAATCTCTCTCCCCCTTGGTTTCGTTGCCATGGATGTGTATAAATGCGCGTCCTCTGTAGGAAACTGGAAAAGCAGAAACAGATCCAAAACCCAGCCATAACTCTATCAGCCTTAATATCTGGGGCTTTCAATTCTGTGTGTATTTTTTTTTCATAAAATCGAATTCTGATTGCATACTGTATTCCCACATCTTCATATGCTATGAACATTTTATATTTTAAGTATCTTCGTTATTTTGAAGGCTATGTGGTATTGCCTCTCACTGTAATTTAAACACCATGATCCCCTATTGTTGCACAACTGGCTGTGTTTCCCATGGTTACATTAATCTAAAAGAGATCATGATAGGCAGTGGGATGCTTGCTTCTTAGAGGGGCTGCATGGACACCTTCTTCCAAGAGTTGAAAGAATGCTGGGAAAAAAGAAAATGTAAGAGGCCTATCAACTATGTTTCAAATTATTTCAATGTGCACTGTGGAATGAGACATTCTACATCTCTCATTGATGTGGGAGTGATTTCTTTCTAATCTTTTGTTTTCATTGATTGGTTAATTAATAAAGAAACTGCCTTGGCCCATTTGATAGGCCAACCCTTAGGTGGGTGGAGTAAACAGAACAGAATGCTGGGAGAAAGAAGCCGAGTCAGGCAGTCGCCATGATTCCCCTCTCAGACACAGACACAGGTTAAGATTTCCCTGGTAAGCCACCTCGTGGGCTACACAGATTATTAGAAATGGGTTAGATCAATATGTAAGAGCTAGCCAATAAGAGGCTAGAGCTAAAAAAAAAAAAAAAAAAGAGGCTAGAGCTAATGGGCCAAACAGTGTTTAAAAGAATACAGTTTCCGTGTAATTATTTTGGGGCATAAGCTAGCCATGTGGGCGGCCAGGTGCCGGGGATGCAGCCCACCACTCATATCACTACATCCCATAATGTCTCTCGAGCTAATTGCCACCAACGGGTGGCAGCCTCAGAAGGTATATTTTCAGTTCATTTCAAGGGTGAACTGTCCTTGGATTAAAGCTAGTAAGTACATAGGAGTGATGAGTTCTCCATATCTGAACATATGGATCATATAGCCATTGGGAGAGGATGCTGAAGAGATGATGTGTGTATTAACCTTAATCTAGATGCTCTCTGATAATGAGTAGAAAATGTGACTGAGAATAACCTCCTCTTGGCGACAAAGCTTCCTGCCTCTGGTGTGGTGTGAAAGCTAAGCATCTACCTAGCAGGAACTCCTCTCTCTCTCTCTCTCTGCCCTCCTCTCTCTCTCTCTCTCTCTCTCTCTCTCTCTCTCTCTCTCTCTCTCTCTCTGCATGTGTGTGTGTGCATGTGTGTGCGTGTGTGCGTGCATGTGTGTGTGTGTGTGTGTAATCCTGGCTGTCCTGTAAGTCACTCTGTAGACCCAGCTGCCCTTGAACTCAAAGATCCAATGGCCTCCAGAGTGCTGGGATTAAAGTCATGTGCCGCCTTCACCACAAGGCTAAGACCAGTCCTCTTAAATCTCAGTGTCTCTCTCAATCTATGTAGAGTTGAACCAGAACCTAACAATAAAATTTGTCATATTTTGACTAAAATTTTTACATGGTCGTTAAGTGTAAGTGGAGTCAACCTGCTGAGGAGAGCAATGAAGCCAGCGGACAATGAACAATAGGCTCAAAAACCATGTGAGGAAAGAATGTACCTCACAAACCCTTCTAGGAAAAGGTACTTTGAGAAGGTTATGTGTTTGGGTCTTCCCAGAAACAGACCCCTAAAACAAGAGTTGCAGGGGGAAAAAAAGATGAAGAGGAGAAAGCAGCTATGATGGGCACAATATCAAACAGGGACCATTGTGGGCAGCTAGAACTTAACCCCACTAGGATAGGACACTCTGGGAGATAATGAATAAATGAGACAGAGTGCCAGAGGCTTCTCACCTCGCATAGGGCACCTGGGGCCTCAGGGGATTGAACCCATTTCCAACAGTCATTGGATTAGAGCTGGTCCCACTGGATACTTAGGCTGCCTCCCCAGGCTGGAGGACAGCCCTCATCTGTGTCTAGACAGTCTCTCGCCGGGGATCTGTGGGTGTCGGGCCATAGAGACAAGTGATAGCACCTGCTGCCAGTGCGTACCTTGGAAATCTCTTAAAGGGTCAACAGCAGTGTTCTGTATTGTGGGAACAGACTCCTCCTCCTTATTAATTTGCTTTCAATAAGACATGCGAATTCTACCCAAAGCCATTCAGCAAAATTTCTTCATACTCAAACCAGGCAAAATGTTTCCCAAAGCAAAGTTCTTCTCATGGCTTGGTTATTCTGAGTAGTAAGAAGAGTGTGTGTGTGTGTGTGTGTGTGTGTGTGTGTGTGTGTGTGTCTGTGTGTGTGTGTCTGTGTCTGTGTTGGTAGTTCAGGGTTCTTTCCACTAAACTAAGAATTAAAATACTTTGAAAACTGCAAATCAATATATAAATGTAAGTCTTTAGTGTTAATTTAATTCAACAAATCTACACTGGGTCTATTGGGTGGAGAGCAAAGGATAATAACAGCCACTTCTGTGATTATTCTATTGTTCAAAGGTTGAATTGAATCTCAGGGTCTGTTCCCATTTGTAAGTGCTCACTATTCCAAATAATTAAAATTCTATTTTTCCATCCCAATTCCAATAACCATGAAATGAGTACTGGCCAAGAGACTACTCTGAACCGAGTCAGTGCTTCATTTCACTGCCTTCCCTATGCCACAGTTCGAACAGTTCCTCCAGCCCAGAATGGGGGAAGAGATGCCAGGAAGGTGCAGGCACCCACTGAGGAGGGATGCAGACACCCACTGAGGAGGGATGCAGGCACCCGCTGAGGAGGGATGCAGGCACCCGCTGAGGAGGGGTGCAGACTCCCGCTAAGGAGAGGTGCAGACACCCGCTGAGGAGGGGTGCAGGCACTTCCTGAGGAGGGGTGCAGGACTCGCTGAGGAGGGGTGCAGGCACTACTGAGGATGCGTGCAGACTCCCACTGAGGAGGGGTGCAGGCACTACTGAGGATAGGTGCAGATTCCCACTGAGG